GGGGTGTTTTCAGCGACGCTCGTTGGCCTTCGTATCTATATGTAAATAAAGGCGAAAAATACCGAGGCAGACTGAGAGGAAGCTACAGATGGAAGATGCTTAAGAGTGAGAGAAAGAAAGCCGTATCTTATTCTCTCAGCATTCGTGTAATTTACCCAAAGAAGATAGGGATGTTCTCGAGATCTTTTTTACAGAGAAAAAAAAACCTTCAAAAATTTCACACGTTGCACGTATCCCATTCGAATAGCAGCCTCGTCATTCACCACGAGAAGCCGTCATAACACTAGGTAAAAACAGTCTGTAAAAAAATACTACGAATCTCTATACTATTTATAAGGATAACTTACGTAAATTTTACTCCCCAGTCTAATATAAATTTTTAACGTAGGCTAGAAAAAAAAATTCTCTCTCTAGGGTTAAAGCCCCTATGTATACGTACATTGCTGCATATTCGAATAGTAAAAAAAAAAAAATACATATTTTGACTTTACAAATCTTATTATGTACTTTCTATATGTCAGATTTAAAAAAATTCTCATGTACGATTTTATACGTTATAAAATATTTTTCAATGATGACCACGCCCAAGTACATTGTTCGTCACGCAAATACTTATAAGACGCCACGTGCGGCTGCTTTAGGATTATATAGGTAAAACTGATGATATATCGCATGATATATTTACGGCGGAGAGACGAGAGCGAGTGCCGGAGACGCGGCTGGGGCTCCGAGATAGCCGAGATAGGAATACGAAGGGCTGGTCTACGTTCTACGAGTTTCGTGAGTGGGTTCGGTGGAACGAAAAGGGAGGTTTCTCTCCTGCTACCACGTCCCCGCAGACGTCCAACGAGTGATCTATGACTCCCTGGCGCATAGCAGAGCGCATAACTTTTATCTTACCTCTCCGAGATCTTCGCGTATAGCAAAGGGAGTGAGAGGGCGATGCTGACGATATAACCCCATTTCGGTATAGCGAGAGCGTTCTATGGGGTGTGAGTCTCTTGGCTTGCATGGGGGAGTAGAGAAAATGCCCGCCCTATTCTCGGCACGATCCTTCTTGCTCTCTAGCTTACACGCGGCTTTTAATATATTCATAGTCACATCCATATACGTGATTATTTTTTTTCCTACACATTTTTACTCAATTTCCAGTTTGATAATATTTCCATATACAGCCGCCGGCAGGGCTTGTCTTTCGTCGTTTAAATATTCATTATTCTTAAGGGACGAAAATGACAGGTATTTATACAGTCGCGAGTATACACGTTTATTCCTTCTCGTCATCAGATACCTTATACCCCATGGAAATACTATGGGTACTGGGTAAACTTTTGTACGGGGGTTACCAAGGCGCACCCCGCCCATCCCCATTTTCATGGGGGCGTGCGAACGGTTAACCCGGCCATTTCACGCTCGAAGAAACAGCGCGCTCCTTCCATCATCCAGCTTGTCGTATCGTCCTATGGCGTACTTCAATTTCTCGACGTATATTCTCCCGTTTCCCATAGAGAAAGTAAACTGCGCGAAATCCCATAGGACATCCACAAGCAACGCGAGAGTAATTTATGTCGTCCGGTATATCGAGCACGTTAAAGAGTATATAAATCTCCGTATTCCATATTTAAGATTAATATGCACATTTACTTGTACTCTCAGTCGGATTTTCTAGGGATGACGTAACAATCCTTTCAAGGAAAAATAAAAAACGAAGGAATAATAAGAATTTTTTGTCCCCAGGACATTTCTTACGAAAGACTCGTCCTCGTACAGTCTCGTACAGGCCTTCGCGTTCGCCATCTTCCCTTATAAACCGCAAGGATGACTCGAGCCGATTCCACGAGTGATCCCGTCCAAGGAGAAAGAGGTTTCCCATAAATCTTCATCTTCCACGGCAAAACGCTTGGAGTCTCAATCCCACGGCGGCAGAATCGCAGATGGGAAACGTCAGGCCTGTCGTTCTGGCCGGGATTTTTACTGTACGCGGCCGCCTCACGGCGTCGTAAATTCCGCGACCCTCCATTTTTAGCCTAAAGCGGGTATCGATCAGTAAGTTTGCAGGGAATTACAGTCCGTGAGCGATTCTCCATAGCCTATAGCAAGTGGTTATATCTACCATACGTCGTATGCCATATAGGAAAGAGGGCGGCAACCGCAGCACGACTGTCCTCTGCCGCTAGCTACCCCTTCGCTAGTTCTATATATATATATATATATGATATGCTCTCTACTGCTATGCCGTATATACGCTAGTCCGTCCTACCCCCAATTTCACCCCGCGGGAGCCAATATTTATTGATCACCCCCGAAGGCATCGTACTGCCGCGGTGGCACCCTTGGAAAAACATCCTTCGCCAGTGCCACCTACTGTATGCTATACTATGCTATATATATACATATATATATATATATATATACTGTATTATATATATATAGATATATACACTATTCCATGACACTGGACTCCACAAACTAACTCCCAGCTGTTTTCTCCTACCTCTCTTCTCTAGTAGTATTTCTCCCGACTTTTTCTCGTCCTATAGAAACCCATGGAAATTCACCCCTCGACTTTTTATTCCTGCCAAGCAAGCTTCGCGTGAGATCCTCTGCCACATATTCAGTTTAGTGTACGACCTGGGATGTATAACGGAATGACGTAACGACAGTGTAGATTTTACACCGGGTATATCATTCGGGGCATTCTGATATATTTTACTATAGCGATAAAGGGATGATATTCTGTAGATTCGGTTTCTGTGAATTTTACTTACCTTGCAGCCAGGTCCAATAGGGTTTAGCGCTATCGTCCTTACCTGGAAATAAAAGTATAATTAAAATTTAATACAATTTTCGATCGCTCTACAGAATTCATTGGAACATGTAAGAAATATTTTTGTACACTTTAAAAAAAAATTTTCCTAAAAAAAACGACCAGTATATAATCACTAGTAAATACCTTATGTCAAATATTGAATTTTCCACCAAATTTTACTATACGTTTATTTTCACGGGTAACAGTAGTCAATTCCAATATGTATGCGTTTACAAAGAATTTTGTGCCGTTCAAAGCAAGGGAGCATTTCACTACAGTACGTAACTTAACGTGCCACCCAAGTACCTATTCGATCCCTTGGAAATACCTAACAATATTTTCAGCATATTATTCACTAAGAGATTATATGCATCATATAGAATATGAAATGAGTAAAGATCTGATATCCACCTGGGTACAAATTTCGTACAATTCGTACCATTGCTAATGGAATCCAAAGTAGTCCTTACGTAAGTTTACGATTGCGTATTCCCACAGAATTTTCGACCGCTGAGAAACTCTTGTTTCACCAGATGTACAAGAGATCTAAGAATCACACGGGTTTATTTGCATCTCTGACAAAATCGTGACTCTAATAATTGAGCTCGTTTCGCTTCACAATACGAAGTAAACTGAACCAAATTTTTGTACCGTAATTCTAAATATTTCTACTTTCTCAACTTGACCACTGTACAGTCAATTATGACGAAACATATTATTTTGTTATATAAAAAACTATGCCAGTGACGTCGAATCAAAGTAAAATCAACGTACGTAACATACATTGTGCTTTGATAGATATAACCATATCTATGTCCAAGAGACAAATCATAACCAAAATCATCTCCCTGGTTAAGGAGCACTCGAGTTCACACGGAAATTTCCAATTTACCGATAAAACATCCTCACCTTAGTCGGCTGTTTCGGACGCACCGAGAGACCTGCATTGTGCATCTCGATTGCGCATCGCTCGTGGTGCATGCGCGCCTCTCACGGCCGCGGGCCGCCAAATGATCCAGAACACCAGTGGGAATTGGTTCGGCGATGGAGCGCAAGAGTAACGCTATAACTAACTAACCTGATCTACGACCTGTTTAGTAGTTCTATATCAGCGCAACGTACGTCGTGCTCAAATACGGCCATTTGAATATCCCTTTGCGCCGATAAACCATGGCTCGATCCAAAAGCGCCTAAGGCTTTTGCAACCGAATAGCTAAATTTCAGTGGGAACTAATAAGAAAGTAATTCATTACGACAAAAGCTAAATCAAAAGGGTATGAACGACTGATGCATCCCGGTGACTAATGAAAAATCATATTAATCATAATTTCGTCATTTTTCATAACTAAACGACAGATCGACTGTAAGGTAGAAAATATGAACTAAAATCAATGGCTATACATAGGAACTTTTATTGAAAACATGTAAGCTCTTCTGCGTATGTAAAACGACATTTACAAAAGTAGTATTGATTGTATCGAGACACCCGACTGGAGTCCAACCCTAAGAGACAGTTCGATTGCAAAAAAGTATTCGGCGGCATATTGACAAAACGGCCCTAAACGACTCGCGATGGGTGAAAGCACCTCCCACGTCGGCCTGACATAAGAAACAGTAAAATCTACGAGCGGGGTCGCGATAAAGTGAAGTTTAATGGAAAAGCAATGGAGAACCGATGCCTCACGAAAAAGCAAATATATATATATATATAGATATAGGCTACAGATAAACCAAAACCAACACATCCCCCAAAAATTTCAGTGTGGCGATAACGGTCCTAATATTTATGAGAAAGAAACTAGAAAATATTCTACCTTTGATTATTCCCGGCGTGAAATAGGCTCGGTTTGACATACGTACCGTTTCTACCTCTCGAAATCCGTCCTTCGCAACATTTTCTCCCGAACGAATTGCTAATCCAAGAGAAACGTTATTGGCTTACGGGCGACGTCGGAAAATCTGTAGACACGTGACTTACGATCCATTGGCGGTGACTGGTTATTAGATTATTGGCGATATCGACAGCTCATGCGTTGCCTACCGATATGAGGTAGCCGATGCAATGGAGGAGGATGGCGACTCGCGTACGCACCACGTACAAATAGACGGTACGGGGGGGGGGATAGTAGGGAGAGGGCGTCGGTAGGGGGCTGGAGAGATGGGGAAGGCAGGGGACAAAATGGGGAACCCGTGATAACGATAACGTACGATCGGCATTAGCTGGCGGCTTGCTGTGGCTGATGGATGCGCTAATTATCAGCAAGCAGGAGTTACAGTGTTACTCGTGCACACGTCTGCACGCACTGCATACCTATGCGTTTTCGATAAAGGGTTGGCTACGCACTCTACGTATAGTATGTATACAGCGAGAAAAAAAGGGTAATCGATATATAGTTTGATATCGATTTAGATAGCAAGAAAAAAATATCTGACGTGACGTAATTTTTTTTCTACTACTATGTTATCATTATACAGAATCAATTACAGTCCGAAACAGGACATAGAAGCAGAATGACATCTCATTATGTATACTAATGACGAGGATCCAATGATCCAATACACGATGGAAGATCTAGAGTGGGTCATTAGTGTACGATTGGTAAATTCCGAAAATTCTTGATTTCTCAAATTCCAGAATTTGAAATTTAATTTGACTCTCGTAGACCTACCGCGTGGTACATTGTCGCGACCTCGAGGAACGTAGTGAACTCGTAACATGTTATAAGCGTACTTTTCTTTTTCGAATTTAATTGAAGTACCTTATTCGGCGAGAACTATCGAATAGCCACAAGTATATATATAGGTATCGTTATGGGGTAAGGAACATCCTAGGCCAAGAGAACGCATATATATATATATATATACACCTAACAGGAAACTGTCTATGGTATCGCACGGTTAGGTACATGGAGTCCGATCGGAGCCGGTCCGTAATGAACATGGCGCTTGTTTATTTAATGGGAAATTCGGTGGCGCCATAAAGCTCAAAGAAGGGGGTGAAACCTATTAAATTTATGTTTTCGGTTTACCCGCTCTGACGGATAGCAATGTCCTCGCACGCGCGCTTATATACGTGCACTGCCTACACTACCCCTTACTCGGCTCTTCCACCCCCCTTGCGCCGGTTCTGCAACAGTGTGTTTGCGTTTACCCTATTGGTAGTCCAGTGTAATCCAAACGGAGATATATTTGTGGGGTCGTCTAGGGGGGGCTGCTACAGAGAGTGGTCAGGGTGCACCGTGGCGCCCACAGTGACGGACACTGCCGCGTCAGCGCGTAAACCGTGACGTTTCTCCATGTCCGGACTGTGTACATCGACTACCTGCCGTTCGTTAGATTAGCCCGTTCGATTTGTAGCGTCCATGTTCCATCAGCTGATTTAATCGTCAGTGAGAATTTCTATAAGGGGCGAACACTTGCATTTCATATGCAGTTGCAATGAAGAAAACAATCAAAGTCTTAACCACGAAGATCAGAAAGTCGTCAGAGTCAGGTCTAGGAGAGTACTCGTGAAAATTAAGATGGAGGTGAGTTTTCGTGAATAATCGACAATAAGAGAATAAGGGTATCTTATCAGTGGCGATTGCACGAGAAAAGTAAGAAACTCCAGTGAGAGAGAGGTAGGAAGGGTGTGCTATCAGCCTCCGCCCACCACCCCTTGGCAACGAGGGAACAATTTCCCGTGTGAAAAAGTTTCGTCTTAAAGTAGTCGCGACACGGAGCCATAAGGGGGTCGGTATCCTGGAGTGAGGGTAGGTTTAGAGGGAGACAAGATGAAGCTCGCGGAAGAAAAACGCCATAGTACCACTTTATCCCTTTTGAATCCCTCTAATTACCGAATTTTCCTCGCCCTTAATTTAGTGTTATAATTGCTTCCTACCCTTCATAAGGGGTTGGCCTCCTCGACTGTTAGGGGTACCGACCCTATCTGAACCTCGACAGTGGCCGCCATTCCTTACGCATACTCCAACCGTCCCCTTATATCCCCCCTCTAACCGCCCCTTGCCCTATAACCACCTTACGTAAGCCCCCTCCATAAAGGCAAGTTCCTCGCATCTATCTTTTATCATGGCATTTTCACGAGGGAGATGGGAAATTCTTGCTGAAGTTTATGCGCAGCCTCCCTTAATCGTACACTGTATATCCTATTAGGCGGTTGCTATTTATTATTATTATATAGCACAGTGAAAGAACTGCGATTAAAATGTCATTTTATATTTTTATTTTAAAACGCCGTGAATTCGACGAATCGAACGAACCATGAAAACAGATCCCTTAATTCCTTCGTATCCTATAATTAATATATCCGCATGATCATCTCAATCCCCATGATTAACATTCTTATGGCGGTAGCCGTGCGTGAGAACCATGAGATCACGTATGAAAATCGTCGAGGTATAATCCCTGTACCACGAAGAGAGACCGGAGTGACAACACGCGAGCTGGTCGCACATGAAATATGAAAGCCTTAATTTATAGCCTGTGTTTTTAAGCGATTGCGCTATACTCGGCTACTCGCACTCTCGAAAGAACGACCCATCATCGTTCTCACCACCCTCTCTCTCCCTCTCTCCCTCTCTCTTCTCACCCGCTTTCCTTAAATTTCCACTGTACACCGAACTACCGACATTTTACATTTTCATCTTTCTCTCCGAATTGTCACTTTTACAGCTGCAAAATTCCCCCAAAATATCCCTAGATCAACGTATATCTGATTTCACTGCTACACGCAGTACGTAAAACTGCCATACGAATTATCCACACCCTATACCCTTACATTACCATATTTAATTATTTATCAAAATTTCCTAATGTTTCTCATCTAGAAAGTAATACAAGTCACACACTCTTTTCCGCAAACGGCCAATTCTAATTACGTATGTGGGTAAGGAACACATTCGGCATAGCGAATGCGAGTAGCCGTTGCACGTGCAGCGCGTGCCGCACTGACTGTCACGCAGTCACGTCTTTGCCCGTATTATGTTTACGCAACGCACAGCG